GAACCCCGCATCTTCGGGTCAGTAAAGTTGCGCTCTAACCACTTGAGCGCTCTCCCCTCCATGTTTATAATATATATATATATATGTATGTATAATATATAATGTAATCAGTCAGACTGAATTAGTATGAAGGCTGACCAGGAACCTGCACTGCTTTTTCATAAATAGCAACATGGCACAACTTTTTTCCCGAGATCGTTCATTGCGGAAAAGTTCAGAATGCGCTGATTTACATTAGGAGCAGAATTGCAGTGCACGGAAAACATGTGTCCGCTCATCATCCTGAAAAAGAGACGATATCATACTCGACATCTAAAATACTTAGAGCCGGACCTTTTCGCCCCACGCTGTGATTTGTATTCGTCAGACTTAGCAGGCATTTTTTTCAATGTGGTGCCCCCTTAATTCATTGCCCGTAATCGAACATCTATAGAGAATTCGTCTAGTTATTTTCTCAGGTTAGCATGCACAGTTTAGCTATCCTCTATGATCAGAATATACGAATACCCCGGGATAAGCGAAAAGGCACTATATGTTGGAAAGTAGATTTTCTTCCTCTCGGCTCCTCGGAGGCTTTTACTTGTTTGGTGGGATTTTTGGATCTCCCAAAGTTACTTCCTTCAAAGGGGCCACTACATGTTGAGGGTCGTCATCGGGCAGATGACACTACTGTACTTCGAAACCGCTAAATCATTCAGTCTTGACACTTTCGGCGCACAGCAGTTAGGTTGCATGACGCGTGAAGGAGTATCCGAAACGCCATAGCCACATGGTTAAGGCCATGAGCTTCCCTGCAGTCCGCAGCCTAATGACCTGAGCCCCTTATTGAGTTCTGTCTTTTTCATCTGTTTGAAAAGTTGCCTTTCATGAACTGTGTTCTCTTCATTCACTAATGTGATAGTGTACTGGAGTAGCAAATCCATGGGAATGCAATGAGGATACTTCTCCCGAGTGAACAACCCAGTAGTGGATAGGGTTTATCACGTTCAGGGAAAATATGCCAATGTGGAACCTTGGTAGCGAGATTGCTCGCTCTTCTTTAGCGTGATGATGATGGTATGGCGAGCATCGGCACCACTCGAAGTGCTGGGGTCAGTCGTCAATTCGTAAATTTCAGGCTCACCATTCCCCCACCATAGCATCATACCTAAACTCGCTGAGGTCTTTCTTGAGCGTACCATGTAGATGCTAGAGAATAACCTAGTGGCACTCCTTTATCCAAGTTGATAATGATATTGTCCTCCCGTAGGATGGCGCCGGGTAACTTTTGATACTTTGCTTGGCTGAGTGATGTACCGTAGGCCAAAGAGCCCTGTGATATTTATTGTTTGATGGTATTAGTCCACAAATGGGTTTTGGCGTGAATATGCATGCTAGTTTTCTTTTGGGCCATCCTCAGTTTGGTATCCTGGGACAGCGAAACATACTTTTCTGCAAGAAACCAGTATGTTAAATCTTCAACCATCACATTGTTTCTCTTGCTGTAGGTCCCATCTGATAGCAAACAAACTTATCGCCATCTGTGTGCCTACCAGGTTGCGCGCGCCAACAGGTATCCAGTATCTCTGATCGACCTCATACAGACGTATTTCGCCTTTGTGCCCGAACGGGCCACTTTCCCTCCTAATCTCCCCAAACAACTTGGCGATGAACAGGCCAATGCAAGTGCTGTTGATCTCTGTCCAGCTGACGGGTTTTTGCTGCTAATCCTTTCCACACTCTCGGAAAACCCGACATTCCCTACGGTTTCCCGTGGACCCGGTGCGCTTGCGTTGGCCTTACTAGCAGCCTATTGGGTCGAGTACTCGGGAGTTGCACGTGCCTCGAACAACCACCATTTCCGTTTACGTCTCTGTTCTCTCTTCTCGCCACATGCACTGGCCTGTACAGATATGTCATTGGCCCAGACCGATAGGCTCGATGTGAAGCAGTTATTATATGTCTCACTTGGGTAAGTTTTATGTTGTGTACATATCTACTAGAGTATACTGTATTTGACCCTTGAGCACATAATGGTAGATTGGACTCATCATTATATGATCATCGCTGTATAAACTGTGTACTTGCTGTACAGTGGTTGTAGCTGCCACAGTTTCGTTCACCAATGATTTGGAGAGGTTGGATAGATAGCTACTCATTGGAAGCGGTAGCGGATATAATTGACCCGAAAATAAGGGTTATCAGTGGACTTTTAATCGAGGAGATTGCAGGCAATAGCTTGGATGCATGAGCGCTATTGAGGTCAGACAGTGTCAGACAGTGACTCTAGCCACTGATGTGTCCTGACCTGGGGTCCCCATCCAGGGAGACGCCAATGACCAACACAGCTGAGTTTTCTGGTGATGGATTTCATATTTCACTGCCAAGCCATTATTTGACATCCCCCTGGCTCGTTTTCAGATTTCATGATGTAAAGGGTTCTTCAAGGAATTCGGCCAGCTGGCATACAGGTCGTGTGAACAACCCAGCGCAACCTATGGAGTTATGATCGGACTTCTCTGAATTTGGCGCGCTGCCATTTCTGAAAAGCTCAGGTTCTCCCACTCTGTTCTCACCTATCAAAAGTGAATACTGCTTTAAACCCGGTTGCCGATGTCTTTCAGAAGCGTCACTTGAGCAGATAGCCTAGACATAAGGTATTTATGCAAATCCATAGCTTTGTGTACATAAAGGCTTCACTTCACCTGCTGAGACAGGAACACTACTGCATTCATGAAGGACATCGATCATGCTTAGTTAATGTCCAATGCGGTAAGACTAACACTTTGAGGATGACACCCTAATGTAGGATTCCTTAAATTCTGCTGTTTAAACCTTTTCCCGTCCACTCAACTGCCAATCTTATTTCATTTTCTTTCCTTAAAGCTACACGATTATCGGTGCCAATCCAATTCTTACTCTGTGGTCTAGCATTCAGTCACAAACTAGCCAACACCAGCAACAGACAGATACATCTCCGATGTTCGCATTTCATCATCATATTCGCGATCTTTCCGGTGTTACTGTAAACGAAGCAAGAGATGGCATTTTGGCGGCCTATCGACGTGGTGCCTATGTGAAAGTTCGTGAGTTCACCCAATTCGCCGATCGGCTTCATCATGCGGACGTCTTTCTGACGACACGAATAGAGCTTCTGTACTGGCAGCTTGCTGTGGTACCAGATAAGTAAGCCCCCTGGATATCCTCCAATTTCCTGCTTTATGTGTGAACTCTGCAAACTGATCGCTTTTGGTTAAGTCCGTACACCATAATTTATTTGAAAAAATCTTACTTGACACTATCAGTAGGAACAATCGACCAACTCGCGGGAATGGTTGGATGGGGGGGGGGGTTCCCGTTGTTTTATGCTTGACATATAAGCGCAGAAGGCAGCAGATCTCATTGATCTCCTCTGACAACAAGGAACCAGCTCAGCCCGTGTGTGAAAAAACTTGAGCATGAAAGTTTGACAGTGAGTTCACCTGGCTCCACACTTCCCCTTATACGTAGTCCGCGGCACTCACATTCACTAGGCGCAAAATTTTTTTTGCCAACTTTTTTTAATGTGCGATGAATTGGAAGACCAACTTGACCGTGGACATGTGATTATGACCTTGCTAGAAGAAGCACAGCACTCAGAACGATTTCCGTTTTAGTGACTTTCTACTGAGCAAAACTCTTTAAGATGCATTTATTTGGCACTCATTGCCTACTAGAATACGAGACTTTGTTCCAAGTGCTTACTTACTTGGCTCAACAAGAGGATGAACAGGTTCCAGTGATTGTTTTCAATCAACCGGAAAAAGTTTGGAACCGATTGCGAAGTCATCGTTTCAGAAGCGCTTGGTGAAAAATTGTTTTTTAATGAATGTTTTGCTTTTGACAAAAGCTTTATCAGGCCAAATGGGCAGGTCACCAAATTGGCTATCTGCCTTATAAGGGAAAACGAAGAACCAGTCAGTAGGTCCTCTTCAGACCATCACACTGGGTCATTGTTGAGTGTCAATCAAAGGCTCTTGTCGGTCAATGTGGTTGCCAAAATCTTGGATTGATGAGTCGGAAGAGTTTCAAATTAGTTCCAATCGCCTCTTGTTCCTTAATCTTCCACTTCAGGGTGCTTCATTTGATTATTCAACGCGGATGCCACTGGTAGATTTTCGTTGACGTTCGTGGGCTTGTGAGTGTTGCGGCAATTTGATTGGATGGAGGGTAGGGGAAGTGGGTAAGGTTAAGTGGAATTCAAACGACTTCTCCTCTTGATAACCACACCAACACGTGTTAACTCGACTGATCGAAGGCCGTTCTCCACACGCTTACCAGTTCCATGCCTTCTATGCTGTTAACACTGGGATGTTTGGTGATTTGTACCGCCTCGGTTATCAGCCCCTGTGACGTGAACCGTAGTCCTCGCCCCAAAACCTCAACATTTTCAAAATCTATTTTGTGTCCCGTGTCTCGCCCAGTCCGAGTCTTTCAAAAACGCTTGATATTCATCCGCGTTTCTCGAAGACCTGTCTATTTTTCTCCCATGTGAAGTTCCTTGGCCGTCAGTCCTAGGCAGACCTTCGTGCAGTCATCAGACTTAATTTTGTAGACACAGTCCCTGGTTCCGTTTACCGGGAGGCCTCCAGATAGCCGTGTTCCGCCTCCAGTATCGTACAGTGGTCGTTGGCTTCCCATGCTTCGCCTTCTCATGCGTCAACCAGAATAGCCAGACGATTCGCGGGATCCGTAACATATTGAATGGCCCCGCTGGTAAAGCTTCTGAGAAACCCAATAATTTAAAGGGTTACCGTCAAATTTGGGTACTTTTCTCTGACCCATACCCATGCAGGGGTTAAGTAGTTCCGGAAAATTCTGGTGTGGTAGAGACGCCGCCTGTGGGTTTTTTGAAGACATCGCCGGATATTTGGGGGTAGTGGCCCCTTCCTGGTCTGCTGGATAAGAAAGAGTTCTAGTGGAGTCTCGACTTTTCCTGTCTGTAGCATTTGTAGGACCCCAAAGGTTAGCTATTTCTCGACGGACTCTGTCCGTCTTCATTTCCAGCCACTCAGCTTTTTGCTTCAGATCGATGGGTAGCTCTTGCTCGGGTGTCGGAGGAAATAATCTAGTGGAGGGAGGTCAGGAAAACTACCTGAGTGTTCGTCAGACATGGCAGCAGCGTCGTCCATACTCTGTTTGACTGGCGATAAGGTTGTTGGATATTACTGGTTAACGTCAAGATCTGGTCAGCTAAGGATCTCACAGGACAATTGCGGCTATCGGACTGTACGCACTTCGTATCCAATAGGGATTAAGAACAGACGGACGAGGGCAGTAGATGATATATTGAGAACTTCAGGAACTGGTTCTATAGACTAATGGGTTCATAAACATCGCGAATTAAGCAAAACGTACAATCAATAATGATGCAATCGACAGGAGAAGAAAAATAGTCATTGAGACAGCAGGGCTTTCTGGAAGCAACCGCAATAAGTACCAAATGATTTGCAAACTTAAAGATACGGGCAGTCAGTCACTGTAAATTGGCTGTATAGAGATATTAAAGGCACAGAATACAATCAGTACGTTCGGGAGGTAAGGAAATGTCTTTGGCTGTCGGTGTGATGCGTTGGTCCAACAATATTACTAGTCGCAAAACCTTTGCGAGTGGAATAAAACTTTTTACGCCAAAATGTTGGATCTTGTTGTGTGTGCTCACACCAGAAGTCATCCTGATCTACCTTCATACTTTCGCAGCTCACCAAATCTCATTGTCCCCTGAAGCAATCATACCGCCGGGAAACAGCATTTTGACATCAGTTACTAGAGAATAAGCGGGCCTTAAGTAGGAACAAGACTGGGGAAGTGAGCAGCAAGGCAATAAAATGGGCGAAAATCACGCTACTCATGAGTAGTCAGAACCCAAAGGAAAATAACCGCTGATTCACAGGAGGAATTAACAGTGGCAACGTGGGCGCAGAGAGAGACCATGAAGTTCAGCACTTGATTCGACCATATGGATCCATGTTTTCCGTCAACCCCCACGACAGCAATGGTAGTGGCATAGGGTTGCTAATAGTATGGTATTGTTTGTTAGTGAAGCGAGAACTCGAAGCACACGCGAATAGCAACGCCAGGGGTGCTGCTGGATACGTATGACAAGCGAGCCAGTCAGGGTGAAACATTTTCAGTCGGTTCGATTTCATAAATTTGGGGTCATTCCTTGATTTGGTGAATCCAGACTGTCGCACGCTTGGACGAGTACCCAACCGTTTTGACTGGTTGCGCAAGAACTAGTTTAAAGCAAGGCCAAAGGGTCTGCAAAATCAAACATCCATTTCTCATTCTATAGGGGATCTCGGTACCCGACGTATGATTGGTTTTGATTATGTTTGGTCCCTTATTTCCAAGCATAGATGCTCTGCCATCAGGTCCCCGAACCGGAAGTCCTGCGACAGCTTCCAACTTCGTCAACAGGCAGCTTTGGATTTCTGATTCATCCGCGGTTCATTACTGAATTGTGTGCTTGATTATAGATAATTCTGGAGTCGCACTGGGGCGAGGTGACTCAGTGGTTGGAGCGCGAATTTACTGAACGGAAGGTTCTTGGTTCGAACCCGACTTCTATCTAGGCTTGGGCAACCTGGCACTATCCCAGCCCTCGTGCTTCCTTCTGGTGGCATGGCAGTTTGGTACCGAAAGAGTGCTACAGCTGAATGATTTTTTCTTTCAGTTTTCTGAAATTTCTCATTCATGTGAAGCTAGTCCTTTCACCAAAAATGAAACCTTAACTCGGTGCAACATCCTCCGAACTGATATCACGATATTATTATGGTAAGATAAGGCTACAAACTGAAACTTTTTGTGACACCGAGTTATTGAATCCAGAGATGTGCTCTTGCAGATGCATCCTGGGCTGCGGCGTTGACCAAGAGTCTCATCCAGCTCAGGTTTTTGAGCTGTTTACATGGTTCACAAGAAACGATTCGCTTGACTTTGGCTAACTGGAAATGCAGCTGCAGCAGGTAGATGTCTGAGTGATTGTACAGAGAAGACTGTGTGTTGCAGTCTAGTCCCACCCGAACTCACGATACTCGCACATGATATTTTGAATAGCTGCTTAGCCATGCATTGTGTGTGGATCGCCAAAGTCTGGGATTGTGGTCCTCGGTTCGCATGCTCATGGCTTGAGCGTCTGGATGAAAACGTTATCACCGAATCTCGGACACCCGTATCTTTCCAAATTTGAGCGCGAAAATTTCCCGACGGGGTGATTTTTTTCAGGGACGAAAGCCCCTGTAGAATGTCAGATTTCTTTCGAAGGCGTTTTATTTCATTTGTACTAAGATTATCGCGGATGTACGGCAGCGAAGCATCAGTTTTGAACACTGATGTTATGCTGTCTGTTATGATGATCATGAATATCGCAAATTTGGCAACAGAGATGCAGTGAAAACCCCACAAAACAATTTTGTCCAGACATTAGAAGCGGAATAATTTTCGCGATTTTGGTCAGGCATGCACACACTGACGCGCGTGGAAAGTAGAAAAACAGTACTGGCCTTCGTCCGTAAGATTGACAATCAGCTGGTTGTTGTTACCACCTTGACTCCAAAGCTTCCGTCGGTTCATTCCTCCTGGAAGGCTTTTCCAGTTTCCGTACTTTGGAACACTATTCACCCCAGAAGAGCTGATGACAGTTCTCGCCTGCGCTTTCGTCGGCGGTGTCCGGTAGGTCTCCCAAGCGCAGAGCTGTGAGTCTCCATTGAAGGGCCTGTTGCCGAATTGTATGAGAACGACAGTCGGCCGCACACATGCCGCTGAAGCTAGGGCCTGAGGTAAGGTACCGCATACTTTGACTATGGCAAATTAACGCAGTTAATCGCATCAGCACTTTGACACTAGAATTTCCAAACTGGTCTTGGGACATGGCGCTTCGGCTAAACCTTTGTTAATTCACACAAGCGTTGCAATCGGTTGAGCTATGTGTGCTGCGTCGGACAGCTTCATCTTCATACAATGAAGTTCCTAACTGGGTCCTTAGGTGAACCAGAACCAAAGCTACCAAGCTAGCCGAAAGATTGCTGGATGCTCTGCCAAGGCCTAAGTACAATCCAGTCTCCATGGCCGGGTCCCTGCATTACCCACCCCGCCTTATGTTAACCCCACAGAGGCGAGTATATCGAATGCCCCACACAACGGGTCCAAGCTTGCTTGCCAGCGTGGGTTACTTTGGCAAGTCATTGACAGTGGGCTTTTGACATCTGAGTTTGACCTGAGGGTACTTTCGCGTGCACATAGCTCATTGTGGGATATCTAGCTTCTCAACTGACGGCTTGGATACTCCGATGTGCCTCAGGCGTCAGCTAGTCGGCGCGTGAGGTCATGTACTACCAACACGCGAGAATGTCTTAAATACGACACACTTGTCCTGGTGGATACGCTTGAGCGACGAAAATCCAAACCAAACAATCTGTCGAACACTCGAGAACGTTTTCTAATTCATCTCAGTCATAAAAAACCTGCCACTAGATTACGCACTTCGTTGGACGCCTTCAAATCACTTAACCTTGGCACTGTTTCCGCACCGTGTTGCAGTATAATTCTAGCGGTACCGTCCTACTGCCAGTAGATGAATTAGCAGCCTTCATCGGACTGTTACCGTTTATTTTTAAAGAACATCATTGCAGATATGAAAGATGCAAGGGATAGCTGTGGGATGTGCATAACATTAGAAAAGGCGATATTTCATTCAAAAGCTCGTCATCCATAGTTTTTCAGTCAGACAAATTGACCTTCAAGGTATATAAGAATGTTTGGTATGGAGACACACGTTTAAAGATCAGCAACTAAAGGAAGGACAAACAATGCTCAGTGCTTTTCAGAGCGCAGTAACAGCTGGCACAGACAAGACTCACATATCAGGCACAAGTTATCCGTCATGCAAGGTCAGACGTGAAAGTCAAGAATGAACACTAAATATCGTGTACTGCGGATAGGTGTCGTACGCACGTAGATAGTCTGAAATACTGAGAAAACATAAGCCACTGATTGTAACCTTAAGAAGTCACAGTTCAACAGAAGCCTTGGCAGTTTTAGGAAAGTCGATCCCCTGGCATGAGCATCGATTCGTCAACAAAAAATCAACATCACAATCGATGACACATGGGTCCCAGATTATAACTAGGGAACAAATGTCAGCACCACACTTCTGCTTCTTCTCATTCCATGCAAGCATTGCACGTCCATCTGAAACTATGAGTACGTCTATCACGGTTGCTGGGCGCTGCCGAACACCAATTAGGTCAAGCTTGATAGAGGACTTCTGAGTGGGTGCTCTTTCAAGACGGTATATCTCAGACGACGGAGACTTTTTCGGGTTCCCCCTCCCCAACCTGATTATGACGAGCACATTGATCATCATGTGTGATCCAACGGAACTGCAGAACTGCACCGAACTCTGGTTGAGCACGGTTCCCACGTCAACGGATCTGATGGCCATGACAATGGCCGTTTTTGGCTCTCATCCTCAACGGGTCTGTATGCCGCGGGTAAATACCAGAGAAACCTGATTCTCTTCAACACAAGCCGTCGATCCGAAAGTAGCGAAGTGACCCACCCTGTCATGCCGCAACTTGTGCAGCCTATTCCCCCCAGTGGTAACCATTTGCTCCTTGGTGTTCACGCATGTACTCTGTACCCGGATTGGATGGCTGGGATTCCGAACGACCTTGCCAAATGCAATGTCATTAACTACTGGTTACTGCGTAGATTGTAGCTTTTTAATGCGTGTCTTCCGAGGGGGAGTCCTCTTTTCCCGAAGTATTCTAGTACTGCATCGGCCATCTCAGTTCAATCTGGTCACCTCGGAAAGTGGAATCTGACAAGACGGACACCTGCTTCTGGCCATGTGTTCTGTACTGCCGAGCAATTTTCCGTCGATAATTGTCACCTTTTTCAAGCCTTTTTTTCACCTTTTTCCGCCGATTGTTTTCCACCCTTTTCTGGAACCATGTTAAAATATTGTTCTATAAGTGTCACAAGGAGATATTTCGGAGACGCCTGCCTTATTGTTTTTTCGGATACAATTAAGAGCTTATCGGCATTCATCTTACTGTTAAATACATTTTCATTGGTGTTCAGGGTACAATGATCTTCGTTATGTCTACATTAAAGAGGGACCTATCAGTTAAAAAAATCGCTTGGCTTTATCAAGATTTCACGAGATCGAGTGCGAAAAATCGTGATAACGACACCGGATCAAAACGCTTCGGTCGGTCACGAGGTTGGTTTACATCATCATAATACTTTGCAGTAACTCAACATGGAGCGTGAGATGTGCATTACCGGTCTTTGAACTCCACTCATTGGTGTATTCCGATCGATCGTTGATGCATTTGACCAGTTTATTTGACGCATTCAGTCGTACTGAGATAATGGTCCAGATCGGTGATCAAACTATTTTCAACAGCAGTTTAGTTGACACGCTGACACTCTGTTTATGTCATTTAGTTGATTCATTCTGAGTGTAGCAGGCGAACGGTATCTTCGAGTGGTGCGTACTACCAGAACCTCCGAGAAGGCAAAGCAAAGTCGGAGCTGGGTTTCTATACGGTGCTCGACAGTAGATACTCGTACAAAACAAATGTTCCACTTTGACTACAAAAGTACAAACCAAAGGAGCGAACAGGCTCCCACGTGAGACGGTTACACGTGCACAAAGTCGGCCATAAATGACCGGAGGACCTCAAGGTCAAATGAGTGAATTGGTAAGGACAAACAAACGCCAGCTCATATACACGCACTAAACACAAAAGCGGGGCGGGGACAGACAGAATAAACGTGGGGAATTTCAAGTGTCAACGTAATGGATGATACACTGAGTATGGAGCCTCCACCAATTTTTGGAGTCCAGGATGTCTTTCTGCCTTAGATCGCCATTGGGCTGCTACGTTAGGTGCATTTCCCTCATCGTTACTCAAAGATGGATGGGAATCTTCTAAGCACTTCAGAATTCAGAAATCGAGTTTGTCGATCGGTTCACGTGGTTTGTCAGCTGCACAAACCGTGATCGTACTATGACAGATGAAATCAGGGCGTGGATAGTCAGAGCCTGCGTCGTTTGTGGCGGGGGGGGGGGGGG